CCTGAAAACAATTAAATTCTTGAAAACGTTCTTATATTTACAGGATGTCCAAGAAGCTTTGATCTTTGAGAACCCCCATACAGAGTACACTATGGAAGTAAGCATGATCAATGAATTTCTTGCTAGCAGAAATTATTACTAGAAAGCCAACAGGGTCTCTGTTGCTATAACCAAGCTATGTCTACCTGTAATGTCAAGTGATGGACTAGCGCATTTCAAGTTACTGCCATAAACCATGATTGGTTAAAGCTTGAATGAGTAAATAACTATGAATTTCTATCTTTTTATGCAGGCCCTTCGGGTTAACTGGGAGCAGCTGCTAACCGCCATCGCTAGAAACATCAATGAAGTTGAAAATCAGGTTGGAATTCAGTTAAACGTTCATTGGATGAATAATTGAAAATATTGTGAAGCTGATATCATGGATAAATCGATTGACAATGTCTTTAGCAGTTCGTTTCCTGATTGACTTTTGATAGTTTTGTTTGACTTAGTTCTGGCTAAGGTAACAATTGAGAACAGCAAAGGAAAAATCTGCTACCTTTTCTCTTCCATTTCTATTAAAAAGAGTGTGTTTCCCAAACTTTGTTTAGGCAAAGTGTTTTTGTATTCGCAGATTCTAACAAGGGATTCCAAAGGTCTCTCAGAAGAACAGATGAAAGAATTCAGAAATTCATTCAACTTTTTCGATAAGGTTTGCCATACTTTGATACTGGAGAGATAGGATCATAGCTTATTGCACTATCCCTTTGGTATGCGTTTGTAGTTAGTCTAGTTTGTGCGCGCTATGTAAACCAACACCGTGATGTGACATCACGTTTCATGGATATTTACATGCACATTAGTCCAATAAATTTTTGCACAACTGAAATAGTAAAGAAATAGTAGGCGAATGTAATGAAAGTTGTCGGTGGTGTATTATGAAATCAAAGGTTACATTTTAAATATTATTTCGTCGTATTTTTATCGCGTTAACTTTTGTTTTGTTTTCTGTTTGTTTGTTTGTTTTTTTTAGGATGAAAATTCGCGACTTGAGCCTCATGAATTTAGACAGTGCTTGGTCAGTTTAGGACACTCGCTTCCTGAAGGAGATAAGGTTTGTGAACGTGCTTGACACACACACACGCTTTTCACTTACAGCACAGCTCTGATTTTAACACTCAAAAGACCACTTGAATGGTGGGTATTACCTCGCGGACTTTATCTGATCCGAGATGCGAACAGCTTTTGAAGGCGAGGTAAAATCTTAGCTTTTAGGGCGCAGCTTAGCAAAACCAATGCAAAACGAAGCGCACAGAGCGTATCAGAGCAATGTGAACGCAAGTGAGAGCCACAGAGCTACAAGGACCAGTTAACACTAGAATAAATGCGATACATTTTGCTCATGGTTGTGAACAGGAAAAAAAAAACATGGAGTGCGTATTATTTGAGTAGTTGATTTTCTATTATATCTTATATATTATGTTTATATTATTAATTTATTAAATCCCACAGGGTGACGTAGAGTTCAATCGACTCATGACAATTGTAGATCCGAACAACACAGGTTTCGTGACTTTCCAAGCATTCCTTGACTTCATGACGCGTGAAGTAGCTGATACGGATACCGCTGAACAAGTCATGGAGTCATTCAGAATCCTTGCTGGGGACAAGGTGACCCTCTATCTCTCATGATATTATTTTACATTTACGTCTCTTGTCCCATTTTCTGCTTGGTTTATGTCGTCAGTGGTTGAACAGCTTCTTGTTCGTATTTTACTTTATTTGTCGCGGAAAATTTTTAACCCTTCAATCCCTAAATGTGACTAGAGTCTAATTTCTCCCCACAATATCACCTCTGACTCAAATATTAAGGTGACGAGAATATAGGAAATGATAACCCACTAAAAAAGCTCTTGATTGATAAACAAATGCATACTGATGATAGGGTGTAAAGGCTAATGACTAAAAGTGAACAATCAGTTCCTGTTTCCGCTCGCGTTCGTGAAAATGTTAATACATATATTTTTTGTTCTGTTACAGCCGTTTATCACTACAGAAGAACTGAGACGCGAATTGCCACCGGATCAAGCTGAGTATTGTATTGCTCGAATGGCTCCTTATGAGGGACCTGACGCTGTGCCAGGTGCTTTGGACTACATGTCCTTCTCCACAGCACTCTATGGCGAAAGTGATTTGTAAACACTTCTATGGTATGGTAATGTGAGGGTGGTGTTACTGGGGCCAGTCTGGGGTGACTGTAGCCTGTCAGTTTGTTTGTAGTTTCCAGACAGTATGCTTGTGTCTTCTATACTCTGTGTAGAGAAAAGAGATTGGAAAGGATAAGAAGGACATTGAGGGCAAACGTCAAAACTCAATTTTCTTGCTGTCTCCTTGCAGCCGTTTTTATTCAGAAGTAACAATACTTCCATAAACTATGAATAAGAGATTTTTTAAACTACATGCTTGATTTAAGAAGTAATCGAATTCTGTGTAAAACGAGAGTTAAGTTTTGCCGTTTGCCGTAACCGTAAACTTAACAATTAAATACACTAAAGGCAGTTCGTAATACTTTGTATGGAACCTTCGCTCATATTTTGAACAGAAAACTTTGACGAATTTTGAACGTTGAAGAACACCTCAAATGTAGATCGAAATATATATTTTGGTGAACTAGAGCATGTTAAAGTAAGGTACAATTGGCTGCTTCGGTCTGCTGCTTGTTTTTCCTTTCAGTTTTGGATTTTTCGGACTTCAGACTGAATTGCGTTGAATGAAAAGCTTTTTCTGGCGATGAATATCGGTAGCAGGGGTCGAAGTCCCGTTTTATGGTAGTCTACATTTCTACAATCAGATATTTTTGTCGAGTGGTTTATCACCCATTAGCTTATTGCTATAAACTAAAGAATTCATTTTAATTTCTGGCCCAATTCATAAGGAAATGCCACGTAAGATAAATGTAGAATAGGTATCAATTGTTCTTCTCTTCTATCGAGTAGCGTGTGTAGGCAGCTGTCAGTATTTTGATTACCTAACTGTATTAAACTGCAGTGATGAATATAAATTTATATAAACTTACTATGTGTCTGTTGATTTTTGACTGCCGTTACGTCAATTCGTTTCCAAGGTCTTGTCTTTACCCTGAAACACCACCTACCCTAACCCCCACCCCCTCGAATAAAACGATGGTTAAGACTAAAGACTTCTCAACGCTTGTCTCTTTTTCAACCTCCCTATGATTGTGAAGCAATGGTCCTATCCAGGAGCCCCCTAAGGGTCCCTTAGCGAAGACATGCCATTGGTCTCATCAAGGAGCCCCCTAAGGGTCCTATAGCGGAGACTTACCAATGGTCCCAACCAGCATCCCCCCTAAGGGTCTCATAACTGAAACGAAAATAAATATCAACCTGCAAAAGGGTAAGCAGATCCCAAGTGTCATTAAAAAAATCTGTAAAACGTCTTAAGATTTACATTTTTAAATCCCTAGAAGAACGGTGAGCGCACACTCCATAAATGGTTAAACCAACGCCTATCATATTATTTATTTTAAGTATCAAAGTTAAGCCTCAAAGTTAAAGTATGTACTTCGTCACGAAAACCTTACCCCTGAAATATCAATCCCGGAGAGAACAAAAATGATTTCCCCTTACAGTGTCGATACATTTTAAGCCCGAAGGAGAGGAGAAGTAAAAATATAAAAGCATTGGGATAAAGTTTGATTTAGCACCAAACTCTCATGACCAAAATTGTAAGAAATGTATGGCAGGCAGTATGCAGTTTTTACTTTGAATGTTGGGTTTCATTTTGGCGTTTTAGAGAATTGCCTTTTGTAGAATGAAATTTGGAATGATTGGCGTATGTGGAAAACACCAAAGAGGTGACGATAAATTAACGGAGGACTGGGTACGGCTAAAGATGGCGAAGATTAACTTTGGAGATAAAGGCTTAAGTTGTTAAAATGGAAAACAACAGAGACTTAGTTCTTTAAATCAGAAATCTTCCCTTAATATCTCAAGTGAGCACAATTTCTCACATCTAAGCTGAAATGTATCTTGCAGTCTTTTGAAACACAGATCTCTGTATCTAGTACGTATTTATACTTTACTTTCAATTTCCTTTTGCCAGTATTTTTGGTAATCCGTTCTTATATCCACTGATATCAACTTCCTCAACTGACACGAGGAATTTGCGAGGACCTCGAACTTCTCGCTGGTACGCTTCCTCCCGAAAGTTAAACAGAATCTGTACGATTTGACCGAGGGAAAAGACGAAAAAAATAAATAGACAAACAACGTACCTATAAGTAATTCGTTTTTTACTGCTTTTTTTGTTTTTTTTTTCATGGAGTGCAGTGAGGAGGAACTGAATCACCGATTCAAAACGGGTCACTCAAATGAATTCGAAACTCAAGATTTAAGATAAATACCTGAAGATTATACTTTTAGAGACCCTCCCAATTATAATAGGCTTTTCCTCTAGATTCTGGTTCGAGAACAACAAATCCAAGTTCTCATTTGTTTTCGTCGCCTATGTGGCTGGCGTACCAAAGAGCGTGATGAGTGGTTGGGTGGGGGGAAGTTGTATTGAATCGTGAAGGGCATTTCAGCGCGCATTGCTTTCTGCTCTTTCACTTCCTGAGAGGCAGGTCACGCGTATCAGTAAATATTTGCCAAATACATCTTCAAGTTCCGTCCATTTCGCCTCCGTCGACTCACCCACGTTCTGGGTCACCTCCGAACAATGTTTGTTAGTCTTTCCTTCAACTTGCGGTTTGAAAAGCACTTACGCAAAGAGGTGGTAAAGGAATAACATCCCTGCATCTTCGCGCTTAGAATTTCAAGGCGTTGCATCCGGTGATATGATCAGCATTTATATCCTGCTCCCTATCATGGGAGTTGGAATTGTCAGAATGTTGGTGTGGCCAAAAATTCGACAAAACGCTAATATAAACGTGAAACATCGGTGGAGGTGATCGGATGTTTGCTACCACAACGAAGATTTCCGAATAATCCCGAAAATATATTCAAGGGGGTATTTGAAGTCACGTGTTGTAATCATGCCGATCAAGAGTCAATCGCGGTGGCGTTAGGTCACGAATGAGAGCAGTGTGGATTAATTTAGCAATTTGCTTTCCTTCTGTCTTCGAATGAGATATTGTCATACTTGAGTCGTCGCTGCAGAATGGCATAAAAGACTCGGTAAGGACCGGAAGTCATCATCATCTGTTATTTTGGTTTGTGAGCACTGAACGTTATTCTCTATCGACTGATAAATTCCTGTCACAACTGATCTTTCGTTCGATTTACGACAAAGTTCATTGTGACCACTTGGATAAACTGACAGCTGAATCCTCCGCCTTACATGCTAAAATATTTCACATTAAGCCATGAGCAACCTTGGCAAGAAGTCGAAATGGAATTTGTCGGTTTTCATAACAAATTTAAGCACCGAAAAGTCGGTTGAAGTGAATGGAGAAACTCATGTTGGCAAATTAATGCTGGACCTCGTTGAAGGGCTAGGTAAGTGTCATAACGGCGCGCCTCTGATTCCACAGCATAACCTTTTGATCGGGTGTGGTGATTATGTCGTGTGTAAGATGTATTTCTGTTGAGCAATAGCGAAATAAAATTGTCTCGTGACTTGCAATTGTTTTTTGAGATGTTGTTGACGGTGACATTTGAGGCAATAGTTCTTGTTATGTATTGGAATTTGAAAGCAAATGAGCATCCAAAGCTATTTGGTTTGAGGTAGACATGTGTAAATATTACGATCATGTTACGGCCATTTGAACGTGCGAAAAAGGAGAACTATTTACGTTAACTATGTGCTCTTTGTTTCATATCGTCTGTCTACATTTTTACAGATATAGCAGCCGACTGGTCCGATCATGGGTTATGGTGGCCTCAAAAACGACAGTGGCTGCTTAAACCTCGATTGACACTAGATACCATTGGTGTTCAAGGAGATGCGGTTCTACAGTTTACTCCAACGCATAAAAAAGTTCGAGTACAGTTACCAGACCTGCAGTACGTTGAAGTCTCATTGGATTTTTCCAAGCCCATTTTTCACGCCGTGCAAGAACTTTGTGCCGAACTTGGAATCAGGCATCCCGAAGAACTCTCTCTGTTGAAACCATACGAAGGGTTGAGAAAAGAAGGCCGGAGAAGCTTTCGTGGTAAATTAAAGAAGAGACATTCGCAGTCTTCGCTTAGTTCGGACGACAATTTATCTACTAATAGCGACGACAAAACGAGAGGAAGCAAAGATAGTTTAACAGTTCCAAATTATAATTCGCTTCCCAGGCACGGTTACTCCTCACCGAATGGCACCCTAAACGCGTCATCACCGGTTGGTTATTCAAGTTTTACGTCTGATGGGTCTTGTGGAACGATCGAATCAACAGCATTAGCGAGCAGCCCAGTCTCTCCATCAATTGAAGCTATTTCAGCATTATTTAAACCCAAAACGCTACAAGAAAAAGCTGTTGTCAACAAAGGGTATGCTTGTTTGTTTGCTATGAGAGAAAAATTCTAGGGCCCGACTAATGTTGTAAAAAGTACATCAATCTACTTTATTTAAATGTAAAATGATCTCCAACAGTCCATAAAAACCTCGATTAAATATCACTTTGTGATCTCGACTTTTGGGGTTTTGAGAAGCCTTTCTTTCATTTTCTCTCATTCCCCTTCCCTTCAGCAAACAATAGGGCCATGGAAAAGTAATCCACTGCACTCAGACCTCACATATTTCCTAAGCCTTGATTATACAGTGATGGTTTAATTTGATGTGTTCACATCTTGTGTGAATGAAAAGGGTTTTAAGCTATGAATATAAATGGCTTGATCCTGTTTTGTTGCACTGGTGTCTAAGGCTTTCTCCTTAATCCCTCATAAGACATTGATTCCTAAGGATTTTTATTTGGTGGTGTCCATACTTAGTCGTTTCAGATCTAAATTCACTGGATTCATACCCAGTTTGAGTCAGTTGGTACCCAAACTGTTGGTAGATTTGTACCCATCTCAATATATATTCATTTTGAAATACTCACACTCAAGCACATGAACAGATGTCCATCATTTTGTGGAACAAGTTAGTAGAGTCAAACACAAGCTAGAAAGATAAGAGCAAAATTCTCTTTGTATGCTTGTGACCATCTTAAAAAGAAAAACAAATGAAAGCAGTTATAAATGTGTTTTTTTTCTCCTTTTGTTATCAATGGTAATAAATCCATTTACTCTTCTTTTTTTTTTTTTTTCATTTATTGTACTCTTCAAACACATTTAATATGGAAAACATACTGTATTAGTTTGGGTACAAAACCACTGTGGGTAATGACTGGAAACCCATTTGGTATAGCAGATTGCAAAACTACAGCAACCTGCACTGCTCTTTTGAAAAAGAATATAGTGAACTATGTTCATGCTTCAAGCTTTAAGGAAAGACACAGCTAGCAATGGCATTTGCAAGAAAAATCACAATTCTTTGCAATGTGTTTAGAAAACAAAACTGTTAGCCACAAGATTTCCTCTGAATAAATTGTACAAAACCATTGAAATTAATTGTAAAGAAGTTAGCACCTGTTGTAGTACAGGAATGCACAAAGGTGCATTTTTAAGTCTTTTAATGAGCTTGTACTGTGAAAGAGACATTTTTAAGAAGATTGGAATTTTGATGGAAATTTTTTTCCTGTTGCAAGGCTTAGAATTTCATTCATTCACAGTTTGGTTCATTTTTGACTGTTAGTTAAGTGAAACATTTTCTTATTATCTGTCTGTGATTGCATTATTCACTGGATTAACATCCTCATATTTCATTTTGGGAATGGTAGATAAAAATTTGTGTTAAAAACTGGTTACAATTAAGTACTGCCCATGTTAAAAGCAAATTTTAAAGAACTCTTTGAGCCTGTTGTTAATTTGATATTTACTGTTTTTACACTTATTTTTGTCAGATGGATGGACTCTTCAAGATCTTTAATGGCACAGGTATGTTCGTATTGTCTAATCCTGGGTTTGCCAATCAATTGTTAATTTTTTAATCTCCTAATTGTTGTGGTGTATATACCACTCTTGCTAGTTAAGTTGTAAAACTTGTTTGGTCACTAATAATTATTTCAACATTATTTTTGCAGGAAGTTGCAGAATTTTCCACGCTCCTGTTGAGATATAAGTACTATGCATTCTTTGACCTAAACCCAAAGGTAGGTAAAACAGGTTTTTATAAATTCTTAATCTTAAAATAGATCACTACAAAAAATAGAGAAAAGCATCAGGGAAATCAAATGATTTTCAAAGAGTTGCCAGATAATGCAGAGCAACATGACTGTTTGTTTGTTTGTTTTCATGAAAAACCTGAGAATGGGGATGAGATATTTTTAAGTATTTCCACATGTGGGTTTGATTGATTTGCAATACTAACTAATGATAATTGTTGTTGATAACATTATAGGTTGATGAAGTGAGAATCAATCAGCTGTATGAACAAGCTAAGTGGTCAATCTTGACAGAGGAAGTAGAGTGTACTGAGGAAGAGATGTTGACGTTTGCCGCCATACAGGTAAGGGTATTTTAAAATGGTCATTTAAACATTCCGAGGTCCTTCCCTGTGTACATCCAGGTCACCGAGAAAGGATTTATTCTACACTCTAGTCATATGGCCCAAATATAGAACTTATCATATGTCTTTTATCCTTTTTTGTTGAAACACCCATCACCTGTGTCAAGGTTGAGATTTTATCATGTGGTTCTAATTTCTCAAAAGGATTGGGAGAAGAGAGCCATGTTCAAGACCTGGTCAGGTCTTTGTGTTGTGTTCTTGTGTCATACACTTCACTCTTACAGTGCCTCTCCCCACCCAGGAGCATAAATGGGTACCAGAGAACTTTCAGTAAATCCTCAGGAACAGCAGCTTGCTAACTTGCTATGAATTAGCATTACATCAAGGCAGAGTAGTAGTAGTAGTAGTAGTAGTACGACTGCTACTTAACTGGGATGGCAATTTGGGCCACTCGGCCTGCGTTCAGAAGTTTACCCCTCAACTTTTGGTTGATTATCATTCAGTCAACGTAGCTCTGGCCCCGTGATGATGACAATGCTTGATTAAACTGGCTAACTTTTCTTTGCTTGCTTATTAGTTTCAAGTGAAGTTAACGTCAACTTCACCACAGAGCCAGGCAACTAGTGATGATGACAACGATGACATCGATGCAGCGCTCAATGATTTACAGGTTCCTATTAACAGCAGTTGTGTTCATTTATTAATTAACACCTTTAACAAAGGGGGTAAATTTCTTAAGAAACTGTGGTGCTGCATTGGTGGGGGAGTACTTCAAGATAATTAAGTTTTATCAACTGAGTTGATAATGACAATTGACCACTGTCAGGAGTTGTTAAGCTGATTATTTTGAGCATTAACCATATGTCAGAGGGATTGATTTATTCTGACGAAGGGCTAGCACTCAAAATGTCAGTTTAGAAACTCCCTATGGTGGCTAATTTACAGTATCAACCCATTAATAAAACCATATTACCTTTAGCAATAAAGGGTGTAAGTCTCTAAAGAAACTGTGGTGCTGCATCAATGGAAGAGTATAACAAGGTGATTTGGTATCATCTACTGAGTTGATAACATAAATTGGCCACAGTGAAGAGTTTCAAAGCTGACGTTTCTGGTGTTAGCCCTTCATCAGAGGGAAAATGTTCAGAAATAGTTCTTTTATCAAACATCTACAAAGGAGAGTAAGTGAAGGCTCCATGTTGCCCCAGTGTCAACAATGTTATAGTAATTTTAAAAGTTAAAGCCCAAAAAAGGAATGCAAACTTTTGATCAACATGTACTTACCTTAGAACACGTCAAACTGCAATCATAATTTTATGCATCGAGTTGTTTCTTTTTCTGGCTCCCCTGCAACCACAGTAGAAGCTGTTTTAAATTAATCATCTCATGAAATTATTTTGATGTTGGTGAGATGGTTGTGGAATGTATTGAAATAAACAAAGAGGTCAATTGATTTTCCAAAATTCAGTGAGATGTATGGAATATTGACTAGGTAATGATATATTACATGGTGATGATTTGCTCTTTACATGGCAAGGTATCTCAGAAGCAGAACTAATCATGAGTACATTTTTTCCCAAGGCAACTCTTGAAGGCTCATCACTCACCACTCCAGGGCAACAGAAGGTACATACACTCTGGGACTTTTGTAGCTTTTATAGTCTCAGATTAGTTGTTCTATCATTAACCTTAAATAAATAAGAGGAAACATTTTTCACTGTGACTTTATTCATCCGGGGGCCATTTTTTTCAAATTCTCGAGCAAAGCTTTTGAAGCATTTTTACTGCAAGCTGTCAATGGGAAAGATGAAGGAAACTTTCTAATCATCAATTTCCATTTCAGGAGATTAACTGGATAGGAAGAAAATATTGATAATGATAATAAGCTTGTGACAGGAAGGGGAAAAATCTACTTTGTGGATACTTTTTGTTGTTTTAAACTTCTAAGAATGGCTTGATACTCACTTTTAAATAATGTGATATTTATTTAGTTGTTTTATATCTTAGCAGAGTCTGACATCAGTTCCAGAAATAAAAGATTATCTTCATTTGGTGAAGTAAGTGTTTCTTACTCTGTCTTGTTTCTTCCAAAAATTAAAATTAAGTTTAGTAATGATGCAATTATCTGAACCCTTTAAATCCTAAGAGTGACTGGCCTCTAATTTCTCCTTACAGTTAGTAATACTGTTGAATCATTCATTAACATCACGAGAATGAAGCACATAATTACCAACTTTAGAAGCTTTGAATTCTCCTGGTCAGTTTAGGGTGTAAAGGGTTAAGAATGATCTAAGGTGGTGTTTTTTGTTCTCCTTTCCTAGGCATAAAACATTTGGTTCGAAGAAAAAGAAGTACTGGTTTGTCTTCAAAGGTACAGTACCTCCAAATAAGCATTTTCTTTTCTTTCTTTTTTTTTTTTTTTTTTTTTTTTCAAAACATTCCTTGAACATCCTATTCAGCCTTTAAATAATGAATTTTTTCCTTTGCAGACACCATCTTGTCACTGTTTAAATCTCAAGAGGAAGCTTTTGGTCAAGCAGTTCAAAAGTTTAATCTGAGAGGTAACCAACATGGAAGAATTGACCATGATGGAGAATGTAATGTAGCAACTGTACTAAAAAATTATAAAAGGACAGGAATACACTCTAGTATCAGTATGCATATTCTACACATCCCCTGTGAAATAAAGGAAGAGAATTTGTCAAACAATCAAGATCTTCACCAAGTTGGTGATCATTTCCTTTATTCTCCTGACCTCATGTTTAATTCAGAGGTGATCCTGTAAGGAGAAATTAGATGTCAGTCATTCTCATGGGTTGTAAGGTTAAACATAGGTTTTGCAGGCTGCATGGGCATTACACACACAACACACTTAACTACAAATATTTCTGCCATCTGTCTTCTACCCATTTCTTTTATCTGAGGAAACTTTTTACTTCCTCTGGAGAATTTTCTTTCAAGTCCGGCACTATGTGGTCACTGAGCTGATTATTGTTGTTGCTTTATAGGTTGCGAGATCATCCCAGATGTTAATGTCAACAAAGAGAAATTTAACTTCAAAGTTAAGCTCCAAGAATCAGAGGATATTGAAATCTGCTGCTCTTGTGTAAGTAAAAAGTTTATCTCTTTTGAGGAATATCTCCTTAGCTCTCTTCAAAGTTACCTTTTTTCTAATGGTTGAATACCTTTATTTGTTTTTTGATCTTAGGAATCTCAGTATTCTAAATGGATGGCAGCCTGTCGCCTGGCATCCAAGGGGAAGACTATGGCTGATTCTGGATATGATGCAGAGGTCTCTGGTATCCAGGCCTTCCTCAGCATGCAGCATGATAAGGGGGATGCCACGCCCCTTAGTCCTGGACAAGTGAGTTGATGCTCTATCTTAAGTATGTTTTGACACGCGTTAAAAAAACTAACGGAGCGGACTGGTAAACTGTGCGTGGAAAATGGACTCAAAAATTGAAAAAACAAAAAAACAGAAAACAAAAGAATCAAAAAAAAAATTAGAAGAGAAGAAAATTTACCGCAAAAAGCTGAAGTTTTTCTCACTTGCTTCAACAAGACTTATTGCTGTGTATGCTGCCTGGATCAGCACGCTATGGGATTGATTTGGTCATGCCTGACAAAGTTCTTTGATTAGGTTAGGGATCTCACGCCAATCTGTCAGCCAATCAAAAACTAAAACCAATGGCCTCATATGGCCACTTGATCACACGCGTGCTACAGTGCTAGAGGCAGTTTGCGTGTTTTTATTTCGAGTCCTCATTGGCTCCTTGTGGTATTTTCTTTGCTCTGATTGGCCACTGTCGTTGGTGCTGGTTTCATGACCCTCCCATTAAAAAGTGCTTTCTAAATTAACATTTGACATGTGATGTTTCATCTTTTCAGATTCCCATTCAGCCGGAAGATTTCGTTGGTCCAAGAATGTTGAAAAAATACAAAGCTAAGCAGGTACTGTCAACTTCTGTCAGCTTCTCCAAGTGAAAGCAAAGCTGAGGAACCACGCTTTGTTTCTTGTGCGCTTTTTCCTTTCTTAGTGATTCTCTTTAATCCTTTGTTCCCGCTACACTTCCTCCTCTCCTCTCCTCTTGCGGTAATGTTTTCGTTCTACTGTCGACGTGAGAAACTCAAACACAGACGTTTTAACCACAGATTGTACAGCTACTTCTTGTGCCTTGTATAGCATTAACTTTTTTTTCAACTTTCCCTTTCAGATTGCTGCTCGCATTCTTGAAGCGCATTCTTCTTTGAACAAAAGCTCGTTGGTTGAATCTAAAATGCTCTATGTAAGACAATGGCAGGCGTTGCCAGAATTTGGTCTCTCTCATTTTGTCGTTCGATTCCGCGGCTCAAAGAAAGAGGTAATTGTTTTTAATAAAAGTAAGCAACTTTACAGCTGAAAAGCATTTCAGTAATTTTTCGTTTTGACAAAGATAATATGCATTTGTCACGAAAGACGGAAGAGCAGTTTACTTCCTTGTTAAGAATATAACCTCGTTGTAAGCGAAGAAAAGCTCCACTCAGGTGACAGTTTACCAATACTCTTCTATGGGGACCTGTAGTCCTGACTTTTGTTAGAACCTTGAACAGTTCTTATTTCACCAGTTGGGATATTTCTTTGTTTTCTTTTGATTTTCGTTTTGTATGCTTTGTTCTAAATTTGTGTTTTGTTTATTTTTGATGTCATTTTGTAAAGAAAATCCTTACAAAGGCAGTTGTGGCACCTTTCATTACAATTCATTTTGATTTAATTTTTTTTCCTTTCAGGAAATCCTTGGAATCGCATTTAACAGAATAATGCGAATCGACCCGACAAGTCGTGAAGCATTAAAGACCTGGAGATACAGCGTGATGAAAGCTTGGAACGTAAACTGGGAGACCAGGGAAATGGTTGTCCAATGTGAAGGGGAGACCATTACGTTCGCGTGCACGAGTGCAGACATCAAAGTCATTCACGAATTTATTGGAGGGTACATCTTCATGTCAATGAGAAAAGATGTCAATCAGCCATCTAACGAAGAGCTGTTCTTCAAACTGACCGGGGGTTGGGTGTAGTCTGCTTCCTGTTCGAGTCATTTCTTTTTTATTGGCAGTTGATGAAGCGAGTATGTTTCTCTGGCTTCTCTTGTTACCTGTTTTTGATTGAATTTATGTGTCGCCAAGCAAAACCATCTATCTCCCTTCTTGTAGCAGTGCTTAAAGTGCGGGAAAACGCGGGTGACCAAGTTGTGATTGGTTTTAGTTTTGCATCTGATTGGTTTAGAGTGGCGCGAGTTTTCTGGACCAATCACAGAGCGAAGTGATGCAAAACTAATGGAATCTCGGATTACTTTCCATACTCAATTGAAAATTGTCATTCTCCATCAGACTGAGGTAAACTAGCTTCGTGTTGTGTCATCTATGTCTGATAGTTCCGGGAGGAACTGATATTATTCTACCCGTGAATGGGTGGAGACACAAACAAGAACAGAGCATGACATCTGTCTATCAGACTTCTCAGAACGGAGCAGGTAATTTAGTGTTAACAACTGAGTTGAAAACGTAAATTAGCCACCGTAAAGGGTAAGAGAGCTGGCGTTTCGAGCGTTAGCCCTTCACTCTGACGAAGGGCTAACGCTCGAAACGCCAACTTTTTTATCCTTTACGGGGGCTAATTTACGTTTTCAACTCAGTTGTTAACACTAAATTACCTGCTATACTCTTCCACCGACGCAGCACCACAGTTTCTTTAGAAACCTACCCCCTTTTCTCAGAACGGACTCTGATTGAACTGCAGTTGGAGATGCCACGCGTCCTTGAAGGTCACCACAATTTTACGACACTGTTGAATGTCAAGGTTAACTGCAACTATATTCCGTTAATACATAGCGTTTCTCTCGGTTTAGTTTATAAATGTGTTATTCGGTCTACAATAAGTGAAATCTCGAAGGTTGATATTAAGCAAACTGTTGTTTGTTGGAGAGCCTGTTTGATGAAATTTCAGAGGGTACATGCTGTAAATGTGATAAACTCTTCTCGTCTTCTATGTATGAGTTATCCTAAAGTATCCATACGGTAGCGTATATTAATGTCAGGGAAATTTATCGCCTTGTTATGGAGAAGTCACGTGTAACGCTAAATCACCATATATTTTTTACTTTGTTTGTTTTATTTTGAGTTAAGATTTATTTTCGACTTTTGCCTCGTGTATTTTTTTACTCTGTTTTTTTGAGTTAAGATTTATTTTCGACTTTTGTCTCATATATTTTTTTACTCTATGTTTTTTTGAGTTAAGATTTATTTTCGACTTTTGCCTTCGTGGAAGAGATGATCAATACACAGTTAAATGAAGGGATCTGTTGAACATAACGGTCCTGAATTTGTAACCAATTTGTTACTGTTAATAAGTATTTTCCTCGTAATTTGCCACTGTTATGTCAAGACAGAAAGAAGAGACTAAACACTCACTCACAACAGGAAATCTTAGTACTTCAAACAATTATATCAATATCGTTTGACTGCCTCGTACGAAATCAGTTAATGTAATCACTGATGTGACATCAATAAGTGAGCGACATGATACCATGTACAAATTAATTATTACTTAAATAAAGGAATAGAAAGAAAGAACACGAACAAAGCGGGTATTTGATCATCATTGCGAGAAAGTTAGGTATTGAGGATCTAGTTCAGGTACTTGTCTCCAAGCAGCTGTTATTTTCACACAAATCCACAGGTCTGTCAAATTGATCGACAGTCAGCACTGCAAACGGCTGAGAAGGAAAATACTGATCGCATTCCATTAACTCTCACATTTAACCCTCACAACCATGCAGTTAATTCTATCATTCTTAAAATCTGTAAACTACTTCAAAACGATTCAGAGACTGGTGCTATCTTTTCGCAACCTCCACTAATTTCCTTCAAACGCGACAAAAACATGGGCAACTTTTTGGTCAGAAGTTCATTTCAAACCAATGACTAACCTGGAACTCTTAAATGCGCTCGCTCACGATGCAAAACTTGTTCTTTCATTCATAACGTAGAGAAAATGTCGGGGCCCAAGAGATCTATTAAGATTACTGATTACTTTACGTGCACTTCCGCCAATGTCATTTACTGCATAACCCGCACTTATTGCAAAAAGTTATGCATTGGTGAAACGGGAAAACGATTTGATGACCGATTCCGAGAACACCTTCGCGATATAGGGGGAAATGACATGGACGCATCCAAACCAGTCCCGAGACACAAAACTCCCTAATCATTGTAAATAGCATATGGCAGTTTGCGGCCTTTCCCTACTTCGAGGCAGTTCGGAAAGCCACAAAACTCTAAAACAAAATTTATCTTTCAAATTGGCACTCATCATCCCCAATGACTTTTCATTCAACTAATTTGTTCTTGTTTCTCGTCACCATATTCTGCACATAGACCCACACACAACCTACTATTCCTCCAATCGCTCTGATGAAGGGCTAACACTCGAAACGTCAGCTTTTAAACGTTTTACGGTGGTCCATTTACGTTATCAACTCAGTTGACAGTACTAAACTACCCTATTCTTTTCACACACCAGCTCACGATGGAGAGAGTTTCATTTCTTTTTTTTTCTCTTTTCCAAAGCGAAACATTCAGCTGATTGCGCGGGTTCTAGTTGAAGCTGAATAACTCATACCTTGCCCCGATATCGTTCCTTGCAACAAACAGAGCTTTGAGGCGTGAAGCAGTAAGATTTTATTGAACACGTACTGGGTTATGGATCTGTGACTGAACGGTTTTCAAGGAGAAAAAAGGAACCTTATTGGACAAGTTTCCACCGCGCAGTCCGAAGTCGGAGGAGATTCTCTGAAAACAAACGGAAGCGTCCCAAAACAGAATTCCGTTCAAAATTGTCTATGCCTAATAATCTGCCAGGGCCGTGCCGTCGATGTAGAAACGATTTTCCCAAAGCGGCCTAATTTATGTTTTGGAGACTGGTGCTTAAAGTTTGTTCTTACGTTTACTAGACAAGAACACTATTTGGCATTGCTTTTACTGTCCTTTTGATGAAAAAGAAACTGTCGTTTACGATGTGAAAAAAAAACCTCAACACCCCATGGGATGGCCTATACTAAGATTTTGTTACGTTAAGCAGTATTCAAGATCGTAAATCTCGACATTCTATAGTACAGAGTGTTTTATTCGTTTTGCCATGGGAAGAAACAACGTAGTTTAAGGTCTCGGATCACAAAAATTCTCAGCTTTGAAAGTGAGCAATTGATGAAGGCGGCTGGTAACAAGCTTCATGGAGTATTGTGTCCCTTGATTTCCGATGAGGACGAAGTGTGAGAGGGCTTTTTCCAATTAGTACTAACTCTCACGTTCCAGTAGATACTTTAATTTGTTTGAGGTAAAGGCTTCTCTTTTTCTTCTTGCATGAATTTAAATGCTAATAACTTGTGAAGATCGATTCACGAGGTTTAAACATACCTAATTGCTACAGTCATTTGGCCTCAAACACACATCTTGAAAACCGGGAATGCATCTGTAACTCAGAAATCACAACCTTTTTGGCCGTAAACCAGCCGTTTTCACCCATCATCTCCAGTCTCACGTTTTCGCTTAATATTCCCCCGATTATGGTGACGTCCCTCTGGTAAAGGAACAACTTGTTTCCTTGCTGCAGTATTCTTCTTCTTGTCAAAAACCTTGGTCGTTTTTCTGCGGTATCTTGGGCTCTTTTTCATCCTATGGGCCAGCATCATGGCAAGATCTCGCAGTGTTTTGGACCCGTTAAGCCATGGGACTGCCTCCATTTGTTACGAGCTTTGCAATCGTTAGAAGTTTCAAAATTCTGGAGATGGCATTGTACAATCCTTTAAATTTTGTTTTTCCCTGAGAGAATACCTCTGCACCCCCTCTTGATTCTTGGCTTCAGAACACATGATCATATTGTCATGACACCACAAAACCTCCATTATTATTTCCAGGTTAGAATCTTGACTGATTCCACATTCAAAAGTACTTAATTTACTATTGAATTTCTTTCAGTACTTTCAGTGTCTCTGCACATGTCTTGAGCAGTTCACAGAGTTGCTGACACTCTCCTATAAAATGACACCTGGACAGTGCTTCACTGGCCCAAACTATCTTAGCATTCACAGCCTGGGTAGCTATGGCAACAGCATTTTTGTTGACAGAAGAGTCCACAGGATTAGATGGAACCCTGCTAGCCTCATGAGAATCTTGCTGTGTTGGCTGGACCACAGGCAGCCCACCTTCACAAAAAAATACAAATTACCTGCTTTAAATTGCATTATAACCACGATATATTTTAGCAGTTGATTTTCGCAGGATGGGTTGTGAATTTGAACTACAGAGTTGTTTCAAAAGATGCAGAGAATATTAGAAATACAGCTGGATGTAAGTCAAGTTTTTTCATCATGTTTCACAGAAAAACACAACGGGCCATTATGCTGTCATCTTTACCAAAACAAAGTTGATGAAAATAGCACCTCTCCTGAGGGCAAAAGATTTCCCTAAAGAAATTTCCTCTTGGGGGAAAAATGCAGGCCCCATGATAGGCCCACCTCATGACTAACTGTAACAGCACATATTTGCTCCATCTTCCCATCTAAAAGAGCTTGCAATGTTCTAAGCAGGGGTTTCAGTTACAAGATATTCATTGGGTTGCTTTAACAATTTACCTTGATCACTGGGATCTGTAGGCTGTGCATCAACTTCTTGACAAGCTACACAATAATCTGATTGGTCACGGTACTTTAGAAGAACATTCTATGAACAGAAACACATTAGTAGTAGTTTGTAAAGTTCCAAATCAAAGGGAAATCTTCAAGGTTCAATTACAGCCATTTGCTCTGCCATGTTCTCTGCTGAAGTTTGTTACGTCACGAACAAGCGGCCTGGTTGCACATTTTAAGCCAATTTTCAAAAGGTTATCTGACAATGCATGCTTACGGTCATTGCAGTAAATTTTTCCATACCATTTAATAATGATGGTAAAAATCACAATTTTTTGAGTGTATGTTTCTAGTTGAAAGGTTCACATGTGATTTATTGTAATTTTTGTAATTTAATGTAAATTTTGTCAATGTTACTTAAGTAAAACAAAACTAAGTTAGATCGACAAATTATGACATTTGACATGGATTTTACAGACCTACCCCACAAACATCACAAGTGGATCCCAACATTCGATATCCTTTTAACAAATATTGTCCCATCAGTGCACTGATTTTATCACTTCTTTCCCGAGTTCTGTTGATCCTTTCTTGAGTGTGTTTATCCATGGTCGGACGGGACATGATCTCCTACTCACCCAAGGTCCTCGTGTACAAAACACTTCATGTAAAGCGCAGACATTAATGAACTCAAGAATAAATGAGAGAGATCTGGGTTTTCAACATAATACTTTCAGCCAATGAATGCCTAGAGCCGGTCTCCTTCTATGTTTTGGCGCGAGACTCATTCAAAATGGCGGACGAGATCTAACAGTGCGAAGTTCTTAGCAAAGAA